CCCTCTCTTCCCCCTCTCCTTCTCTCCCTCTCTCCCTCTCTCCCTCCTTAACCTTTTCCTTACCTCATGGAGGCTGACACCCACAGAGCATTTACAAGCCAGTTGCTATTCCCAGCACTTGTAAAAGCTCATTTAATTATCTCAACAGCTCCTTGAAGAGATGATATTATTACTCCCATGATAAGAAACTGAAGAGAGGGAGGTTGAGCAATTTATACCAATTAGGACAGTAAGGGAGAGAGAAGTCCAACCCAGTCTTCTGGATCCACCCTCTGCCCGGGATTGCCTCTTAGGGAAAGTACAGTGCTGGAATTGAAAGACCTGAACTCAAAATGAAACCTAATTGTGTGGGTTGTGGCCTTTGGAGCAAACTCATTAATTTCTCTGAGCCTCAATTTCCCCATCTGTAAACTGGGAATAATAATACCTATGAGAATTTAATATGATTACATATCTAAGGCACCTAGAAAATAGAAGTCTCCTAATATATTGCTATTCTCTTTTCTCCAATTATCCTTCAAGACAGGTTCAAATGCCACCTCCCTTTCAAGCCTTTGCAAATCACTGATGCCCATAATTTACACAACAGAACTGAAAGTAATCTCTCCACTGTGCCCTAAAGAAAACCCAGGATTATTTTCGCCAATTACAAAAATATTAGGGATATAGATAAAACAGCCTTGTCTACTTAATTATTTAATTAATACTTAATTCATCCTTTTAGATAAACAAATATAAAAGTAAAACTATACATTAATGTATAAATACTGCCTTTTTCATTTATATTTTATAAATAGTTGTATTCAAATTTTAACACGGAGCCTGATGTCAATGACTTCATCATGAAAGCCACATTTTGAATTATCAGTGGGGTTTTTTCAGAGCATATTTTCTTCACTTGACAGTATCTAACTTTCTGAATCCGTTCATGATTCTGTCTGTGGGAATTTTATTACAAACCATGTTTCCACTTGCTTTATATTAAGAAGTTGTTTTTTCTCATTCAGTCCTAAATATATACGTTAGTGA